GTACCTCCTCTGATGTTTTAGCATCCAGGGACAGTGTTCACTGCTCATATTTCCTACCTTGAGATCTACAATGAAAATGGTTATGATCTTCTGGATCCCAAGCATGAAGCATGCAAGCTGGAAGATTTACCGTAAGTGACTAAGGTGCTCTTTAAATACTAAGTTGGCTACAAGGATAAATTTCTAACCCTTAGTTTTTCTCTTTTTGTGTGCCAGGCCCTGTAGATTGCAATTAATTGTGAATGAGTATCTTTCATTCATTTCACTAGAGACTGGATCTTAAATGGGTGGTTGATCTCTAAGAAGTGCTATTAATAATGAAGTGGGTAGTAAATTATGGTCAAGAATCACTCACTTTCTGTATACCTTATACACTGTCAGCTCCAAGTACTGACTTGACAAGCCACGAATCTTGAGACAAACATTTATTACCTGTTTTAAAACCTACTCTGTAAGTACCAGTAGTAAAGCTTTATTTACATAGATAGTCAGTTGTTTTAGAAAGTTGTTAGCAATACTAGAAAGCCAGCCAGCCCATAGCCTGTGGTCATGGAATGGATTTCCAGCTTTTGTTTCATGCTGCCGAAAAAAGCTGGAAATTGGTCTGTATTCACAGGCTAGGCAGCCCAGAGTCCTGCAAGCGGTGGAGTGGTCATTTCCTGTACCTACATGTAGAGTGCAACTGAGAATTCACTTCTGCCAGATCAATTGGTTTATTTTCTCAATGTAGGAAAGTGAACCTGTTTGAAGACAGTGACAATAATGTCCATCTGAAGAATCTTTCTCTACATCAAGCCAGTAACGAAGAGGAAGGTGAGAAGCATTTTTATCAAAAATTAATATTAACAAACTTTAATGAGGAAACATTCGAGATCACTTTCCCAAATCTTGAAGATTTCACAGCTTTTATTGCAAACAGTGTTGAAATCTTTTTGCAACAACCAAAAAACCTTGATTTAAATGATAAAAAGAAAATGGATCAAAATCTACCAATCGCACCCACAGAGGTGACCTCTTGAACCTCTTAAAGTAAACATCTGCCTGTTTTCCGAGTGGTCTACTAAGATGATTGATGGCAGCAAAACACAAAAACATTGTTTGGGCAGAGTTTGGATGCTATGAAGGCACAGTAGTTTGACCTTTTAATTTTCTGAACAGTTAGGTTTTTAGTTGAATCCTTTGTTCCAGATTATCATTAATGAATATGAGACTATGGAATAAAATTTTAATAAAAACAGGCTCAAAAATTTCTAGCTAATTCTTAATGCAGCTTATCATAGAATATCCATTGTTAAGCATCTTTTTATCTCCATGTTTTCTCAGCTCTCAATCTTTTATTTCTTGGAGACACAAACAGGATGATTGCTGAGGTGAGACCTACCATGTACAAAACTGCAGCTCTTATAATATCATACATTGTTAGTTATTTACTACTACAGGTAATTAGATGGAAATAAAAATAATCTGGCAATGTTTTTACCCACAGACACCCATGAATCAAGCGTCCACCAGATCACACTGCATTTTCACCATCCATATCTCGTCACGTGATCCTGGATCTGCTACCATCAGACGAGCCAAGCTTCATTTGGTTGATCTTGCAGGGTAAAGAAAATCATTTGGTTTATAGCTTTTGATTGGGGTTGTTGCAAGTATAGCTCACAAGAATGATGTTATGAAATTATTTAATATTTTGTTGGACTGATCACATGTTTTTCTCTTTGCTTGAAGATCTGAAAGAGTTGGAAAGACCAATGTGGGTGGTACTCTTCTCACTGAAGCCAAATATATTAATTTATCTCTTCACTACCTTGAACAGGTAAAGACTGCACAAACATGTAGCTTGCTTTGCTTTTAAATTGCCTTTTTATTTGTAACTTACTAAAGAGAATTCGCATTTGGTTTTTAATCTTACCTTATACCTGAAGGTGATAGTGGCATTATCAGACAAATCAAGAAGCCACATTCCATACAGAAACTCTATGATGACCTCAGTTTTAAGAGACAGGTAAAGATCATTGTATACACACTGTACCTGATGTCAGAGGGAACCTGTCTTCCTATCTGTTTGTGACAAAAGGAATATTAAACATTACATGTAGGTTGTTAGCATGTGATGTCATCTAGGTTGTAAAATCTGAATTGCTCACTTCAAAACTCTGTCCTTTCAACATGGTAAATTGCAGCTTTTGATTTCTCAAAACTGCTTTTCTTTGGAGATCCAGTCTACTGGATATATATGTATACATGTATGGCTTAGTCCATTAGTAGCAGAATCAAAATGTTTGCTCTAACAAGACATAACTGAGTCTGGGTAATTTTGTTTACAAATGAACCACAGGTTTGATAATTTAATTGACTGCAGATTGTGTAACAAATTTAATTTTAATAGTGTTGTTGAGCAAGTTGAATTAATGTTGTAGCAAAACAACCTGAGGCAACAGCAAAAAGCCCAGATACCTCTTCTGTTTTCCAACTTTTCTCAGATATTCTGCATATAATAACTTGGTTATTTTTCTTCTTCGTTTCAGTCTTGGAGGAAATTGTATGACTACAATGATAGCAACATGTTCCCTTGAAAAGAAAAACTTAGATGTAAGCTATGGTATTCATTTTTGAATGTGGGTGTAAAATTCAACTGGACAATTTAACAAAAGAACTTGTAGTAACGTATTTTGCAGTGTGACTACTGGTGTAAGAGTTACATTGACTTTTGCCATGAAGAGCTAGAATCATTATTTCAACATTTTTATTTACTCTTCTTTTGATTTAAGGCCTTTATGTGTTATGTGTGATGTGGTAGTCAAAATCGTTTTGTTGTGTGGAATCTGTTTCCATAGCCTGTGTTTAGCCAGGAGGCTTCTATACACCGGTGCAAAGTTTCAGATTTCTCCTTGGCTTTGTTTAAAATTGAAAACTACATTTGTTTCATAATAATTGATTCAAAATTAATTCAATTGCAAGATCATGGTCACGCGTTGAATAAAGTCATTTTCAGCATTATACAGGATGTACTGGATTTGGCTTACTAGATTTTTTACTTTAAGTTACAGCACTAGTGGAACTGTATGTTTGGGTTGATTTTCCAACAGCTGCAATTTGTTCTTTTGTTTGATGTTTTACAAACAAGGTACATGTAATCTGCAATGCAGACATACAGTGTACATTGTAAAGTCCAATGTAATTAACAAGAAGTTTTATTTGTCTGCTAGAACAAAGGCAAAAGGAACTATTAAATCGTTTTGTAACTGTCATATTGAGATATGAAAAAATAACTTGGAGATTTATATTAATTCAATGTATTTTCTTTTGCAGGAATCAATTTCGACATGTAGATTTGCTCAAAGAGTGGCCATGATAAAGAATGATGTACTGCTCAATGAAGAAATTGATCCTAAACTGGTCAGTTGATATTGCCTCCCTAATCAATTACACAAATTTGTCGACAACATCAAGACTTCTCTGTTCACATTGCCGAAATGCCCAGGGGTACTGTAGGAATTGGGCGGGGGTGGGGAGGGGTGGGGGAGGGAATTGCTGGGGTGCAAATCTTCCAGAGTTTTGTGTTGTTTAAAAAGCTTGCATGAAAATGTCTATTAAGAAACCAAGTACTAATAAAAATAGACTTTGAAAATCATTGGGAACATGGAAACTCAAATCTTATGATGTCAAACTGTCTAGTAGTGTTGCCAGGTTTATGTTTCAGTGCTGTTGGATTTAGAGGAATGTTAAGATCACACGTTGTGTCTGGTAGTTGAGATTGTGAACTTTATTTTGTTGTCATTCCTCAGCTGATTGCGCAGCTTAAGGCAGAAGTACAGAGACTCAAAGATGAACTGGCAATGGCGTCAGGACAGGAGTACACCGGCGAGCTGACAGAAGATGAAATGGACAGGTCATAAGATTTAATTGACACAAAGCTTTAAGCGAGAAAGAAAGAGTTTGTGTGTGCAGTTTTATCCACAAATATGACAGTATTATACGTCAGCCAAGATCTGTTTTAAAGACCAGAGACTACATCGTCGTCTGACAAATAATTTTTCACTCAACTCCCAAGAAGACTCCGAGACTTCTGCTCTGGTTTTTGAAGCGTCAGTCACCAAAAACAGTTCTTTTCAGAACTAGTCTCCCCCAGACGATCACACGAGACAAACTATAGTCCAGTTTTGGCCCTCTCTCTGTCACGGAACTCTACACTCTTGTGTCACACCCTCTGTCACGAAACGCTACGCTCTCGCGTACTGTTGTGTAGCAGAGGAAGGGCCAGAACTGGACTTAACAAAGTATTGATACTCCTGGGTTCAAATCATTTACTATTAATAATTGTGTCCTCCGTAGACTGCGCAGGGTGGTGAAAAGTTACATTGAAGACGGTGATCCTGACTCAGCTCTTAGTGTTGGTGCAGACATGCGAAAGATCAACTACTGCTTTCAGCTACTCAAGGTAAAGAGTCCTTGTTGTGTATAATTTAAAGGGAAAGCAATGAAACCGTCTGTTATCGACCCTGACGTTAACGGCAGGAGAGCTTTGTTTTTGCTAATTCCACGGAGGTGCGGTAGCCTGATGGTTAGGGGACTGGACTACAGAACGCATAGTCCTGGCTGATCCTGAATGGCCTGTACTCTTTTAGTATTAGTTTTGAGTAGTTTAGTGCCGGTACTTCAAGATGAGATCAATTAGTTGATAATATTCTTTTGTCTCATTACCTTCTGCTAGACATTGTGTTGATATTGTAGGGAGAAATTAAAGTTTGATGAGCAAAAAGGCTCTATCCAGCGAAATCGTTATTGCATTTTTACTTATTGCAGAGTCATGTGTTGGAAAGGAGCAAAAAGAATCCTTCTCCTCCCTCACAGAGGTAAACTTCGTTCAGCGTGTTGCTAGATTTCTAGCCACGCAAAAATCACAGTACGCTATGCAAGATTGACTTAAGGCTAATTAAACGTTCTCGCTAGTTTTAGTATTAAAATGTAATTCGTAATCTCCACTAAATGGGATTGGTTAGGGATAAACAAAGCTACAGTCAATTTTCCCCTTCACCAATTTTCCCGCGCCTGCCATTGTTTACACTGCTTTACCTTGCTCCCCATCCGCGCTCCTTGGTCTCTGATTGTTTCATTTCTATCACTATTTTGTCCTCGTAGTGATTGGCTCTGTAAATTTGTTAAGGTTATTCCTCAGAAATAAAAGTTGCCGAACAATTTTTTTTGAAACTTTCCATGAATGTTCCCTACCAGACGCTGTATCGAAAAATACAATATAAAAGATAGGTCACCATGCTCGCTAAAGAGATATGATGGGTCAATCCCACTTATGTCTAGCCACGCGCGTTATTTCATCAGTTCACGTTACGTAGCTGAAAGCAAAGGTTATTAAAGCAATACTTGAAAAAATCTTGATAAAAATCTACCAGCGATAGGCATGGGAAAAACTTCACATGCGCAATTTAGGGAAAGAAAATGCTTTTTTTAAATTATAATTTTTATTTGTTACTAGGACCCCTGCAATCGATGGCGTCCTTGACAGCAGCTATTTGGGAAACCACTCGGAAGTGAACAAACTGAAAGAACTGATCCGACAGCGAGATAACGAGATAAATATCCTTTATCATCGGTTTGAAAAGAGGTATTGGTATAACAGATGGCTGTGTTGTGGCTGCATGAACTGGTTAACTCGAGGATCATATGTCTTACTAGGCTCTTAAACACCTGTTAACTAAAGGAAGAACGTTACTTTCTGAAAATGTGGTTTAAACTGAGATATCTCTGGGATGTTCCTGACAAAAAAATAGATATCAGTGTAATAATACACGGTTCCACTCTCTTCACAACCAGTAAAATTGTGGTGAAATTATATATAGAGCCTGTGACACTTACATGTAAATGCAGTGGAGAATAAGATAGGAATATTAGTGAAGTATTGAACTAGAGATCATGCCCTTGGAAAAAGCGTTAAAACTTTCTTCCAAGTTTGTACGACTGTGTGAAAACTTTATCCACGCAGCCATGCAAACGGTACAAAAGTTGAAATTCTAAATTCATGATTTGGAGGATATTTACACCTTTCCTCTCTAACCTGGCAAGATGGTTACATTTTCGTCCGCTCCGGCTAAGTTGTTTGGTGACGGGTTCTTCTTCTAATTGCAAAATGTAAGTCCAGTGGTATTTCATTAATCTTGTAATAAACCCTCTACTATAAACCGGCATTTGACTTTTCGATTCTGAAGTTTGATCGGTAACTAACTTCTCCTTACATAATCTGTACAATGTGAAGTAGACGGGTGAGGAGATTGAAGAAATTTATCACCGACAGAAGTTTGTCTTGATGTAGGATCAAATTCTCAAAACGGAGATGAAAGAAATATGTGACGATCAGTAGGGAGAATTGTGTCAGCTATTTAAGTGTTTTATTTATTTATTTTATTATTAATTATGATACTGTATCAGTTGTTAACGTAAATAAATTAAAAGCTGTCTCAAACTCGAAATAACCACTGACAATAACTTTTAGTTTGCTTAATAAAATCTGTGATCCGATAACTGAAAAATAACAATACAGGTTAAAGATATAATAACTATAACTATACTTACTAACAGTTTACACAAGTAAAGTTTTGATGTAATGTAAAGATCGTAACGAAAATAGCTTAGTGTTATCAATAAATTATCTTTATACAGATAAGCTCTTGAATTAAATTAAAATAAAAAAAAACCGATGTTGGGTAACAGGTTGTAGTAGTTAAGAGGGTGCAAAGTTATCGCCGATTGTGAGTGGTACTCGACAAAACTGCTTGCAATAATAATAGTGAATGCTGCGGGAACGTTTGACAACACAGCTTGAGCCTTTCACTGAAATAGACAAGATTGAAATGAAACTAGCAAAACTAACCTTAAAAACTGTGTTTCTCAGGCTAAACTGGGAAACGACCGGACTTACTAGGCGCATCGCTTTGCTAGCGAGCGGGACAGTGGACAGCTTATCAAACCTGTTTAAACTGGATAATCTGGATGAGAGTTTAGAATTGACCACGGGAGACCAGCACCGCCCTCTCACGGCTGGACACGGAGAAGAAGAAGATGCTTTTATTGGACAAATGGACAGAGAGGCGATGCGTACTCTCGCCAAACTCTCCGCCGATGTAGAATGTTTCACTCTCAGAGAGTTGAAGCAAATTCACAGGCGCTCTCGGGTAGCTATTGAAGCTGGAATGACTAATAACCTACACATTCATAAGCACATTATGAAGCTTTTGGAGAGTCACGTTGTGTTCGACTCGGAACAACACAAAATGCGCAGGTTGGACATCGCTCACAAAGAAGCTATGGCTAGTTATAAAACAGCCTTGGAGCGATGCTCTAACTCACACGACAAACTCAGGGATGCCGAGAAGCAAAGATTGGAAGCTGAGGAGGAATATATCGAAGCCATGATGGAACTGAATCGAGCAGAGCAAGAGAAAAAGAAGGTTTTATCCGTGATTGAAATGCAGCATGGTGGCAGAAGTCGAAGGAGGACGACTTCGATGTAGATGAATCTACACTTAGGTTTCGCACCACACTACACTGTAGCTGTCTCTTTATTCAGTGCATGTAAAAACTATTTTTTAAGTAAGAGATGTAAGCGATGTAGCGCGGTTTGCAACGCCGCGAAACTGTTGCCAAGTCCATGTGAGTCTAAATTTAATTTCGACCAAGGAATTAAATGCCTTGGTGGCTGAACTGTTGTTCAGCCATTGTTGCTCAATGTTCAACTTCAATATTCTCAGGACTCGCCGTTTTTTGTACACGTTCTTTAATTCTTTTTGGGCGAATTTAATTCTCGATCAAGATTCTGGTTTACTCAGTTACTTGATTCTTACTAGTTGCTCCGAGGTTAGAAAAATTAACTGCTAGAGTTGAAAGCGCTCTTGTGTCGGAAGGGGCATTGTCTTTTACGGAACAGTCGCAAGTTGAAGATGATAGAAAATGTCAATACAGTAGTACAAAATTGTTCTTCAGGGTGCACCAGTTTGCGTACACCAAAATAATAGTTATGACCAAACTGGGGCTAAAAGCTGAAGTAATCCAGGCAATTGACGTTTGAAAAGATTTTAGTTTTACTACAAGCAATCTATCCGAGAGAATTCGTTTGACGTAGCCAGAAATTCCAGCAATTTGCGATTATTTGTATAATACGTGCAAGGAATAAGGTACAAGTCGCATCTATTTTTGATCGGAGTAACAATTAAAATTAGTCCTGTTTAAATCGAACAATAAACTGCTGGCTGTAATAGCTGTAATGGAAGTTATGTACATGGAATTAATTGTGGCCTTGTGTTTCATTATGAACTATAAAAATTGTGCTATGTAGGGTATACAAGGGGAATGTTGTAGTTCCCGTGAAGGCACATCAACGAGTGTAGTAATCAAATACAAGTCTTCAACTTAAATGAGGTATTTTTTTAAACTAATAAATTCATAAACTTGCTAAACGTATCGTTAACGGTAGCTGGAGGGAAATATTAACTTATTTGTTTTGAAATAAAACCTACTTTACAAAATAGAGCTGAAACATAAACAAAGGTACAATGTAAATGCTTTAATTAACTTTTCATTCTAAACCGTTAAATAAAACACAGACTCTAAACATAAGGGTCGCATTCCTGCTCAGCTTCGATCTTTGTACTGTCACATCTCCTTCAAATTCTCTTGGCTGCTTTCCAGCCACTTTTTAAAGTCTACTGAGGAGGAATTGACATTTGGTCACTTATACTGGTAACTATCAACATATCACATTTGAATAACGGAACATGATCAAAACCCTAGTAAATTCCAGTTCCACGTGTTCTGCGCTCTGATTTGCTCTGGCGTACCAGCATCTCATTTATTGGGTGTGAAGCTATTTTAAACGTGCGGTGTATTCCATATTAGGGAGCGCTAGGTTAATAATTCAAAACACGGTGGACAAGTTTATTTTGTCCGTATTGTTCAACGTTCCGTGAAATGTGAAGTTTTTTCCGTTACTGATTTTCCTTTATTTCCACTGGTCAGTTTAAATACGAAATCCTCTCAGACCGGTAGTATTCGTTGTCCTTCTCGTTTGCCACATATTCTTTTCACTTTGGTTCTGAAATTCTGGTGATACATCAATATAATTACTAGTAGATGATTGTCTGTATTCTCATTACCTGCCTATTTGACAATATATTGATCCTGTATGGAGAAATTTGACGTTGATCTCTCTTGAGACTTGGTTAAAAAAGTCTTCTTCGTGATCTCTCTGCGGTACTTCTCTACTGTTTTTGTACCTCGGAAAAAATATTATTTGTTTTGTCATTTCCTTTGTTTGACAACTAGATTTACGATTCCGAAAAGCTGTTTTTTTCCTGTCGCCGCTACAACACATGGAGAACAATGGCACATGTCAAAGCAATAAGCTTGAAATGGTACAAGCTTGACACCTCACTGAACCAACGAAGGTTTCACTTTCACAGTATGGCTGGATAGCTGCTCATCAACTGGTACAACATGTGGCATGCCATCTGTTACCATGAATTACTGGTGTTCGTAACACTTGGTGAATTTTCAAAAACACAGTCTCGCGATATAAGCTTTTACAGTGTTACGTTGTTAAATTGCTTTCGTTTTTGAAATAATTCACTCGGAAAGTTCTAAAATCAACTTACCGCAGCAGTTGAATGGTCATTTCAATAAATAAGTTGTTAAGTAGCGTTGCCGGTGTATTAGGGAGTTTAGGTAATTAAGGCGGCGACTACGAGGACAACGTCGATTAAAAAATGAATTTATATTTTACCTACGAATCTCGCGATACTACTCTTAAGTCACTAACTTTCTTTATCGCTGTTAAACTATCTCAAAACTAAATTTTGAACACAGCGATAAATTTGAAGTAGATCACAATTTTTTAAAAATTACCCGTCGCGGTTCACGTTCCCCAGACAACGCAATTTGGTCATTTCACGTTGTTGTTTTACAGAGGACGGCAAAGAAATGTACCAAGAATTATAACGCACGTGCACAGCCATTGTATTGCTCATTAAATCTTTTGTTTAGCGACGTTCCTATTGCCGTCGCCGTCGTGGTTTTGTTACGTGTTAATTTGAAGCGTTCTCTATCAGACTGTACCACTGGTTCTTGATTTCTAAATAATCTTTGACCTGACATAAAGAATGGTTCTTAATTCCAACGCAAAAGAACTTCTTAATGCTATATACTTTAAAACATGAACCCGCCGCTACACTTGAAGTATGGTGAACTCTTTTCTTAGCCCGAAAAACGTATTCTTCGTTTTGCCAGCCGTGAAATTCACGGAACATACCAACATTGGCATGGTATTCCACTGAAATGACTGCTGTTGCAATTCTTATTTGAAGTTGTAATGGTGTCTTCTTGGACCATAACAAAAATATCCGTGAATCCAGTGAGAGGTGGTTTTGCGCGGCGGACGGCAAACTTTCGTGTCGCAAGAAACTTGATCCGTTCGCTTACGAAACGCTTGTGTGTACATAAATCTTAGATCTTATTAATGAGGCTGAATAAAAGATAGGTCATGTGAATAAGTTCTACTGCATTGTGGGATTTTGAAGGAATTTTCAACCCACGTGATCTCCGCGGTAGAGGAACTTTATGGGGTGGTGGGTGGGGATAGGTTGAACGTGTATTTTCTCAGCTTTCTGCAAGTAGTTAAACTGAACAAGTTTAAATAGTGTGGACGTGTTTTTGTTTATAGTTGCGTTGTTTAAACGTTGATAAGTTGAAATTAAAGACCTCTACTAACTGTAAGGTTAACGTATAGCATATCATATTATACCTTATCAGTCAATATGCATCCTTAACCACCGTTCAGACATTTTGGTAGGCATGCTGAAGAAGGAGAAGAAACGCACCGCGGACCTCGAGATGTCTGTAAAACAAGGCGGGGGGCGAATCCCAGACGGGACGGGTGGGGTACCAGACGGCATTAGACGGAGCACCAGTCAGCCCCTGAGTGATGATTCAGAGAGTGAACTGTCCAACTTGAGATCTGCGGGTAGAGCACGAGTGAAAGACAGACCGTCTTCAGATACCACTGAGGTTTACACGAATAACTCTTGTGTTCAGATTGTTTTTGTTATTCAGTAACAATTTTCGAACGTTCAATTAGCCACGGCCGCCACTGACTTGATTGTTTGTTTTCTCGTAGAATCGTGCACACCCTCAAGCGCCCGGCGATGACGCCAGTAATCACAGGCCCCCCTCTGCTTACAGAAGAAAGCTGGGTAAGTAACGTTAATAACTACTGGCCACATTTAAAATTGAAATTAAGTCAAAGTCAGTAAACGAACCTTACATTGTATCTGCGAGAGAAGCGACTGGACTTGACGGGATGGGAGCTCAATACAGGCCCCCTCCCCTCCCCCGCAGCAAAAGCGGTCAGCTTGCCCTACTGGAGATAAGAGAGGCAATGTGAGAGTAACAGATCTTGACCAAGAACGCGGTTCAGTGACCCCTGTCAGGGATCGAATCCGGACAGTTTAATCCAGAAATTGCGTTCTGATTTAAAATGCGATAGGACTGGCATTATTAGGGATATTTTTTTAGTCAGATAAGATAGGAGTCAAATTTTTCAACTGGTGGATGGTTAACCCAGTGAAGGAGAAATTAAGGCCTGGTAGTAGGCAAAAGCCCTAAACTTGTTGTAGTTTTTGTTCGTCAGCACTTGCTCAGATGATAGGAAAGGAAACCGATTTCGCAGAAGGGACATTTTTGTTCCACTGTTAATCCTTTCTTTATCCCCTAACTTAGATGAAATGTCAGTTGGACGTAAGGAAGCTTTCGAGACTTTCCGGCGAGACTATCCTCACAACGACACGATAGAGGAGAATAAAAGAACACTCAAGCAAAGGTTAGTGCATGTCTAGGTGTGATTTGCTCCTGTCTTTTCCCCTGTTCCGCGCAGCAATTTCGCTTGACCAGTCATGGGATTCAAGTATCTGATCATCACCTTAACCTTAACTGAGAGATTCACCCAATGAGAGTTCAAGAAAGAGTTGGATATCTAGAACGAAGAAGTTTAATCCGTGTAGCAGGTGCAGGTGGTAAACGCTGGACGTGAGCGGAACGTGCGCGCGTGGGCAACGCGCGAATGGGAAGAGACGCGTATACGTCGAAATTGCGTGCGTGTTCTTCAGTTGTCGAGCGTTGATAAACGTGGAGTGCGCGTTAAGCTTTCGTATTGTTGTAGTCGACATGATACTGTATAATTTGAGAACAAATCTTTAAACCATTCACGACAGCGAAATAATCAAGGCGCAAGTTATAAATTGTTTTTTTTTCTAAATCAAATGACATATTGTCGAATGATCAAGAAGTTTCTTTCTTTTTTCTTTAGATATGCGGAGGCTAAGAGACTCGGAGAGCAAGTGAACTCATCACGACAAAAAATAAGTAAGTCCTTCTCAGTGCATTTTTCTGTCCAAGCAAACGTTCGTCACACAATTTTCCTTCAAATACATGTTCAAATGTTGTTTATAATGAACAATACGCTTACCTACACCTAGTAGCTAGTTCACGGGCATGTCACTTAAACTGAAAGGAACAAATATTTCAAACGAAAAAGGCTTAAACATCCCAACTGGCGGGAGGCAGAGCAGTTGGCTATGACCTAGGTTCTACCGAGAAACAACTCCAGCTTAGTGGTCAGAGCGGGACTTGATCCCGCGACCGGTGACCCGCGCGGATTTCACGTCCGGCGCCCTAACCACTCGGCTACTTCCTCCTCCTCCTTCCCTTGGCTTTGGGACAAAAACTGAAGAACGCCTGTTTGTAGTGTTTGGGGGGCTGGTTTCGGACGAACATGATCTTGTTAGTAATGACTTCAAATTGACGATTTTTTTAAATTTCAGATTCTATAAAAAGTCAAATCGAACAGCACAGAGTTCGTCGTTCAATGCAAGGTACGGTGTATTAAGTAGACAGGAGGCCTTCCGTGTGGCACGAAATTTTTGCGAGTTTTGCGGTTTTTTCCACGATCCGCAAAAATAAGTTCCCGCGAATAAAAGTTCCCGCAAAAGTTTTCTCCGCAAAAATTTACTCCACTGGCGAAACTAGACATACAAACATCACAAGTAGAATCTTGAAACCATTTATTTAACGAAACGTCTCTTTCGTTCAGAAACAAAACTCGAGAGATATGTACCGTAGTTTTTGATGATCCATCGTCGGAGCAATCAACCACACTAGGACAAGATGTAATTGTAATGGAATGAGACTGAGTACCGTGTTTTACATGTCTTCATGTTGTTCGACTGGTCGATTTTTCGTAGTGAAATGTGAAATGTTGCAATTGGCGATTTGCGCGATGGTGTCATTTGACTACAACTATCAGAATCTTCTTATGTTAATTAGGACAATTGTCGTTAAAGCCCCTCTGGGGCTTCGAAATTTAAATGATAGAGAAAAAATGAAATAAATTCTGGTAGTTGTTGTTAAATGACGCTGTCGTGCAAATCTGCTATTCCAAGTAAACGCGACTCCCTGATAATCCAAAAATTAATACCAAGCAAGAAAAACCATTCTTTTACAATCGAAAAAATTGGTTCCCGCAAAATACAAAAAATACCGATTCCAAAATTAAACTCCCGCAAAAAGTTCGTGCCACACGGCAGTTAAATTTCACCATTGAGTGTAAGCAAAATGAAATAGTTACTTGATGAATTTATTTACATGCTACTGATAAACGTTCGTGTAACACGAGATAGAGCCTTTAATAACGGTTCTCAGTATATTTACTCCGTCCATAGACACTCGAATCTATGAGAGAAAAAAAAAAGAATGTAAAAAGTGAATCTGTTGTACAAAGCCTACGAAAACTTTTAAATAGTTTAGTGAAAGATAGAAGATGATTACTCGTCCTTCACACTGGATGTATTGGTAGAACTTTCTGGAAATTATTTCGCACAAGAGAACGTTTACAATAATGGCTGTTTTTGTGGAAGGTTTTGTTAATGGCACTGAAGGGATGGAGGAAGTCGATCCCGTGGAACAGAACTTAAGGCAAGCTATTGAGGAGGAAAAAGCAAAGTAAGTGATAGAATGCTCCAGGCGATTTTCTGACAGTGAAATGCTTCTCGGCTCTTTAAAGGAGCTCAGTCACGACATTTTGAGTAATTTTGGCCACTAACAAAATCAGCTTTAAATTGATGGAAAGTTGAAAATAATAGTGAACTAAGACAGAAAAACACCAAAGAGATAATATTATACCTTAACGAAACAAGGATGGTTAAGGATGGAGAAGATTGACACCGATTTCAAACGAAGAACTTGAAAAATTTAAGCTTAACTTTTCGGGATGCGCAAACCGTGACGTAATTCCTGCTTTTGTCCTGTGTTGAGTTTGTGGGGTAAACATTGCCTGTTTCCTTGGTTAGATACAAGGACAGCTTCACCCGCCTTCGGTCCCTCAAGACTGAGATCGAACACCTTCAGCATCTGCTAGAGAAATCCAAAGTCAAGATGCAGAAAGATTTTGAGATCTGGTGGGCAGAACAGGCGGCCTTCACCCAGGTATGACAGCAATACGAGCTTGGTCAGATTGGACTCATGTACAACGAAAATAATCGCTTGAATAATGCTAACAATAAAATAATCTTTGTTTACAATATTTGCCTCATTAGCGTAAGCGATACAGTTTCTGATGGAGTTGCAAAAACATTAGTTCTGAATATCATTGAAACAGTACAGCACGATTAACAGTCCCAAGGAATTTGAACCCGATGTACTGAATACCGTTTGTGCGTCGCAGGTTTTAAAACTCAAAATTTTTAAAAGAATGTATGAGCTCATTAGCGCTTTTGCCACCCAGAAATTTTTCAGTTGTTGAAAGCCAATTTCTCCTCGAATATTACACCCAAAGAGCCACTAAGTTTCACAAGCTCTTTAAATGTTTGTAGTCAATTCGTTTCTGGTGTGATGCCTTCTCTGCGAAAAGTCGTAAAATGTAAACAATGACGTCAGCAAAGATATCTTCCTATTGCTTTGTGGTCTTAAAAATATTAGGTCTTCACTTCGCCTTCTATCCATCGTTTATATGACTTTTTTCCATTAGCCACCTGATGAAGTGCGAGCAGCGTGGAAAACCCCTCCGATATCCCCCGTTCGACCTCCATCCGCCCCTCGGAGACGTGATCCAGACCCGGGTGGCTTATCAAATCCCCGGGGAGACGAGTCTTCCCGTAGCACCAGACCAGGGAAATTCGTATCCAAGCTACGAGCCGAGGCTCATCTGGCGTCTTCAGGAGTGGTGTCATCTGTTACCCGTCCGTCTGTTCATGGTTCCAATTCAGACAGTGGTTTAAGCAGCTGGTCGACATCTGCAGCAACAGTAGCAGCTGATGTATCGAGTGTGGGAATCGCCGCAAGAAATAAATCGGGGTGCGTAGTTAATGACAATAAGATAGGGTCAAGTTATTAAAGGAAAACATTTGATGCGTTTTCCGAGTGAAACCACCGTTTTTAAATTACTCGTGTTTTCAGAGTGAAACCTCCGTTTCAAATTCCTCCGGCATAGTGTGGACGGAAAACATTTGATGCGGTTTCAGAATGAAACCTCCGTTTTCAAATTTCACCGGCGTAGTGCGGACGCCGGGGGCCTTAATGAAAATTGCAGTTATATCGCACCCTCAAATTTTACGGATACATCGACAATAAAGAACACAAATTCTATCAAGCCGTTACGTATATCAAGTCATGTCTCAACTAGAGTTCGCTCCATAAAGGAAACTAAGAGCTTTGGATCTCCTTGAGAAGTTTATACTGTATTGTAAATATTTCCAACGCTTAAACAATTTGGACGATTTTATTTGTGGACACTGTTTTGTCCGAAATTATTTTCAAGTGGTGTATCCATTTTTGGACTTTGCATAATTTGAAAATCCCACCTGAAGCGACTTGAAAACCATGATGTAATCGATACGTTATAACTTTGAATCTCTCCACAGTTCCTCTAGTGACGTCAGCACTGGTTCTGGATCAGTGAAACTGACTGGTGACACCCGAGCTGATGCCGACATCTTGGCTTTTATAAAAGCGAGACAGAATTTGTTACAGCAGCGAGGTTTGTTGCTTCACACTTAAGGTTACTTATGAAGACTCCAGTATTATTATGTTTTAGGTGCTGTTTAGTAAACACACAATTTTAACTACAGTAGATCAAAACAACCGAGTGGTCTTGTGGAATTATTCAGTTGACGAGAGTTCTCCTCCGCCCCCCCGAAGGGTACTCCCAGAAAAATTTGGTTGGGGTGTGCGGCCCGCTTCCCAAAACCCTTACCTTTGTCTGTGATTTCCCTACCTTATTTATGGCCTGACCAAACATTTGATACCCTATTTAAGACCTGACCCTTAAATCAATACTCTGCCTCAGACCTGTCTTATAATTAGCTCCCTAGTTCAGACCAATGTTAAAGACCTTTTGAGGGCTTTTGGTGATGGTTTTATCGGTAATGATGAAAAAGTAACTTTTTCTAAAAGAACATGCCTAATTCAAGACTAGAGTGCAAAAACCACACCCTATTTGATACCAAAATGGCTAAAATCGATATCCTGTTTCTGATCAAAACGACCAAAAAACCAAACCCTTTAGGACCGCATATACCTATATAGCCCATATAGGGGAGTACCCCCAGGAGGTTTTCTGTCCGCCTGAATACGCTATTTGACTTTCATTCCCCTCGCAGGGTGAAATTGGAGTTCCACATCAGGTCATCGTCTCTCTTTATTGCAGGTCATCGATAACCGCAACTGGTCCTATTATCAAGGGAACCAAGATCAGTAACAGAGGCCGGCCCTCTATGCCAACCCCACCATGGACGGGCCGCTCTATCTGTTCACCAAAGTGATTGGCACCAAGCTTCAGATACACGAGGGAAGAGAAATATGAAACGTTTCGTTCAACACGTTCTCGGTGCTCATACCACGGAAAGACTGACTGTTGAGATAAATAGATTGCAATGGATATTTTTCTCTTCGGAGCAAACATTTCTATCCTCTGGAAATACAGATAACGAATGCTCTCAATTGCAAGAAAGTAAAGAACACATCGTTTTCGTTGGACGCGAAAAATGTGGCAGATTTTAAAAATGTGTTCACTACGCTCCTTTCCATTCTCATCCGTTAAGTGAGCTCAAATAAATAGCAAAGCGCGAATGAAAACAGGTTCTTCTTCCTGCTTACTTCCTGTATTCACTGCGGGTTCACCAAGGAGTTTTTTTCCCTCCTTTACAAAGTGAGTTTCCTTCGTCATTTTCTCGTGCGTTCAATACGAGATTGTCAATTTTCCTGCGTTTCTCGCGCGTTCCGTCATTTGTTCACCGTGGGTTCACCGTGGGTTCACCTTGGGGTTATCAGGGTTGCCACAGGTCAGGAAATGGCCAGAGAAAAGAAAAATTCTTCAAGGTCAGGGAAAAGTGGGGGAATTTTATTTTGAGTCAGGGAACATTGATAATTTGAAGAAAGTCAGGGAAAATTGAATAATTTGACACGGCTTATTTAATAAAGGCTGGAAGAAACATCTGGGGTCAGTGTGATGTCAAGGATATTTTTCCTTAATGAAGAAGGAAGATTTGTTGAAAACTCATCAGTGTTAATGAACGAGTAGAAAGGGAGGCTGCAAGTTGAGGCCAGAAGCCTCTACTAGATCTAACATTTTGTGTTTATTTGGTCAGGGAAATCTTATTTTTATCGGGGAAAAGTCAGGGGATTTTGAAAAGTATTGCCTGTGGCAACCATGGGTATGGTTCCCACCTACATCCAGGTTTCTTCTGTGCGTATGTTCGCTCTTACAAACGCCTATGCGTTGTCCATGCGTTCCCCTCTGCGTTAATCTATCTGAGCCTTTTGCGTTGCCCCAGGGATTCCCTTCTCATGCTTCCGCTGTTGGTCCCCCCCTCCTCCCAACGTTTCATCGTCTATTGTCTATTTCTCGTCTATTGTGCGTTGCAGACTTCATATCGTGTACATTTTTCGTGTTCGCTATGCCGTTCCCGTGCGTTCCGGTGTTTCAAGTTGTTGTTTTTCCGGTATAAATGATGTGAGTTATCTCAAACGTTTCGCCAGTTACGATGGTCTGAGAATAANCAGTTAAATTTCACCATTGAGTGTAAGCAAAATGAAATAGTTACTTGATGAATTTATTTACATGCTACTGATAAACGTTCGTGTAACACGAGATAGAGCCTTTAATAACGGTTCTCAGTATATTTACTCCGTCCATAGACACTCGAATCTATGAGAGAAAAAAAAAAGAATGTAAAAAGTGAATCTGTTGTACAAAGCCTACGAAAACTTTTAAATAGTTTAGTGAAAGATAGAAGATGATTACTCGTCCTTCACACTGGATGTATTGGTAGAACTTTCTGGAAATTATTTCGCACAAGAGAACGTTTACAATAATGGCTGTTTTTGTGGAAGGTTTTGTTAATGGCACTGAAGGGATGGAGGAAGTCGATCCCGTGGAACAGAACTTAAGGCAAGCTATTGAGGAGGAAAAAGCAAAGTAAGTGATAGAATGCTCCAGGCGATTTTCTGACAGTGAAATGCTTCTCGGCTCTTTAAAGGAGCTCAGTCACGACATTTTGAGTAATTTTGGCCACTAACAAAATCAGCTTTAAATTGATGGAAAGTTGAAAATAATAGTGAACTAAGACAGAAAAACACCAAAGAGATAATATTATACCTTAACGAAACAAGGATGGTTAAGGATGGAGAAGATTGACACCGATTTCAAACGAAGAACTTGAAAAATTTAAGCTTAACTTTTCGGGATGCGCAAACCGTGACGTAATTCCTGCTTTTGTCCTGTGTTGAGTTTGTGGGGTAAACATTGCCTGTTTCCTTGGTTAGATACAAGGACAGCTTCACCCGCCTTCGGTCCCTCAAGACTGAGATCGAACACCTTCAGCATCTGCTAGAGAAATCCAAAGTCAAGATGCAGAAAGATTTTGAGATCTGGTGGGCAGAACAGGCGGCCTTCACCCAGGTATGACAGCAATACGAGCTTGGTCAGATTGGACTCATGTACAACGAAAATAATCGCTTGAATAATGCTAACAATAAAATAATCTTTGTTTACAATATTTGCCTCATTAGCGTAAGCGATACAGTTTCTGATGGAGTTGCAAAAACATTAGTTCTGAATATCATTGAAACAGTACAGCACGATTAACAGTCCCAAGGAATTTGAACCCGATGTACTGAATACCGTTTGTGCGTCGCAGGTTTTAAAACTCAAAATTTTTAAAAGAATGTATGAGCTCATTAGCGCTTTTGCCACCCAGAAATTTTTCAGTTGTTGAAAGCCAATTTCTCCTCGAATATTACACCCAAAGAGCCACTAAGTTTCACAAGCTCTTTAAATGTTTGTAGTCAATTCGTTTCTGGTGTGATGCCTTCTCTGCGAAAAGTCGTAAAATGTAAACAATGACGTCAGCAAAGATATCTTCCTATTGCTTTGTGGTCTTAAAAATATTAGGTCTTCACTTCGCCTTCTATCCATCGTTTATATGACTTTTTTCCATTAGCCACCTGATGAAGTGCGAGCAGCGTGGAAAACCCCTCCGATATCCCCCGTTCGACCTCCATCCGCCCCTCGGAGACGTGATCCAGACCCGGGTGGCTTATCAAATCCCCGGGGAGACGAGTCTTCCCGTAGCACCAGACCAGGGAAATTCGTATCCAAGCTACGAGCCGAGGCTCATCTGGCGTCTTCAGGAGTGGTGTCATCTGTTACCCGTCCGTCTGTTCATGGTTCCAATTCAGACAGTGGTTTAAGCAGCTGGTCGACATCTGCAGCAACAGTAGCAGCTGATGTATCGAGTGTGGGAATCGCCGCAAGAAATAAATCGGGGTGCGTAGTTAATGACAATAAGATAGGGTCAAGTTATTAAAGGAAAACATTTGATGCGTTTTCCGAGTGAAACCACCGTTTTTAAATTACTCGTGTTTTCAGAGTGAAACCTCCGTTTCAAATTCCTCCGGCATAGTGTGGACGGAAAACATTTGATGCGGTTTCAGAATGAAACCTCCGTTTTCAAATTTCACCGGCGTAGTGCGGACGCCGGGGGCCTTAATGAAAATTGCAGTTATATCGCACCCTCAAATTTTACGGATACATCGACAATAAAGAACACAAATTCTATCAAGCCGTTACGTATATCAAGTCATGTCTCAACTAGAGTTCGCTCCATAAAGGAAACTAAGAGCTTTGGATCTCCTTGAGAAGTTTATACTGTATTGTAAATATTTCCAACGCTTAAACAATTTGGACGATTTTATTTGTGGACACTGTTTTGTCCGAAATTATTTTCAAGTGGTGTATCCATTTTTGGACTTTGCATAATTTGAAAATCCCACCTGAAGCGACTTGAAAACCATGATGTAATCGATACGTTATAACTTTGAATCTCTCCACAGTTCCTCTAGTGACGTCAGCACTGGTTCTGGATCAGTGAAACTGACTGGTGACACCCGAGCTGATGCCGACATCTTGGCTTTTATAAAAGCGAGACAGAATTTGTTACAGCAGCGAGGTTTGTTGCTTCACACTTAAGGTTACTTATGAAGACTCCAGTATTATTATGTTTTAGGTGCTGTTTAGTAAACACACAATTTTAACTACAGTAGATCAAAACAACCGAGTGGTCTTGTGGAATTATTCAGTTGACGAGAGTTCTCCTCCGCCCCCCCGAAGGGTACTCCCAGAAAAATTTGGTTGGGGTGTGCGGCCCGCTTCCCAAAACCCTTACCTTTGTCTGTGATTTCCCTACCTTATTTATGGCCTGACCAAACATTTGATACCCTATTTAAGACCTGACCCTTAAATCAATACTCTGCCTCAGACCTGTCTTATAATTAGCTCCCTAGTTCAGACCAATGTTAAAGACCTTTTGAGGGCTTTTGGTGATGGTTTTATCGGTAATGATGAAAAAGTAACTTTTTCTAAAAGAACATGCCTAATTCAAGACTAGAGTGCAAAAACCACACCCTATTTGATACCAAAATGGCTAAAATCGATATCCTGTTTCTGATCAAAACGACCAAAAAACCAAACCCTTTAGGACCGCATATACCTATATAGCCCATATAGGGGAGTACCCCCAGGAGGTTTTCTGTCCGCCTGAATACGCTATTTGACTTTCATTCCCCTCGCAGGGTGAAATTGGAGTTCCACATCAGGTCATCGTCTCTCTTTATTGCAGGTCATCGATAACCGCAACTGGTCCTATTATCAAGGGAACCAAGATCAGTAACAGAGGCCGGCCCTCTATGCCAACCCCACCATGGACGGGCCGCTCTATCTGTTCACCAAAGTGATTGGCACCAAGCTTCAGATACACGAGGGAAGAGAAATATGAAACGTTTCGTTCAACACGTTCTCGGTGCTCATACCACGGAAAGACTGACTGTTGAGATAAATAGATTGCAATGGATATTTTTCTCTTCGGAGCAAACATTTCTATCCTCTGGAAATACAGATAACGAATGCTCTCAATTGCAAGAAAGTAAAGAACACATCGTTTTCGTTGGACGCGAAAAATGTGGCAGATTTTAAAAATGTGTTCACTACGCTCCTTTCCATTCTCATCCGTTAAGTGAGCTCAAATAAATAGCAAAGCGCGAATGAAAACAGGTTCTTCTTCCTGCTTACTTCCTGTATTCACTGCGGGTTCACCAAGGAGTTTTTTTCCCTCCTTTACAAAGTGAGTTTCCTTCGTCATTTTCTCGTGCGTTCAATACGAGATTGTCAATTTTCCTGCGTTTCTCGCGCGTTCCGTCATTTGTTCACCGTGGGTTCACCGTGGGTTCACCTTGGGGTTATCAGGGTTGCCACAGGTCAGGAAATGGCCAGAGAAAAGAAAAATTCTTCAAGGTCAGGGAAAAGTGGGGGAATTTTATTTTGAGTCAGGGAACATTGATAATTTGAAGAAAGTCAGGGAAAATTGAATAATTTGACACGGCTTATTTAATAAAGGCTGGAAGAAACATCTGGGGTCAGTGTGATGTCAAGGATATTTTTCCTTAATGAAGAAGGAAGATTTGTTGAAAACTCATCAGTGTTAATGAACGAGTAGAAAGGGAGGCTGCAAGTTGAGGCCAGAAGCCTCTACTAGATCTAACATTTTGTGTTTATTTGGTCAGGGAAATCTTATTTTTATCGGGGAAAAGTCAGGGGATTTTGAAAAGTATTGCCTGTGGCAACCATGGGTATGGTTCCCACCTACATCCAGGTTTCTTCTGTGCGTATGTTCGCTCTTACAAACGCCTATGCGTTGTCCATGCGTTCCCCTCTGCGTTAATCTATCTGAGCCTTTTGCGTTGCCCCAGGGATTCCCTTCTCATGCTTCCGCTGTTGGTCCCCCCCTCCTCCCAACGTTTCATCGTCTATTGTCTATTTCTCGTCTATTGTGCGTTGCAGACTTCATATCGTGTACATTTTTCGTGTTCGCTATGCCGTTCCCGTGCGTTCCGGTGTTTCAAGTTGTTGTTTTTCCGGTATAAATGATGTGAGTTATCTCAAACGTTTCGCCAGTTACGATGGTCTGAGAATAAGCTATTTCCGAGTTGCTCCTACCTCTGTTTCAAAACGAGTCTTAGTGCACAGCCTTTCTTTCCCATAGCTTTTCTTCCACGTTCATTGTCTTACAAATCAAACTCATTTCCATATGAAAGGTTGTGCACTAAGACTCGTTTTGAAACAGGGGTAAAAAGCAACTCGAAAACGGCTTGTTATCATTACAAAATTGGTCCTCTAGGAAACAGTCTCCAAACAGACATACTGCAATTAATTTGCCACATTTTAATTAGGCCTCAAATTAATTGTTTTATTTCTTTAATTTACAAATGGGTAAACGTCTCTTAATTTACAAAAAAAGCATACATACATACAAATTTTAAAACGCCTCCATTCTAGAGCAAGGCCAAAAGAATCCAGAAATAAAATATCTACAGAATAGTGACAATTCCAATAGCTGTGTCGTACAAAAAATACATGTACTAAAACAATTGAATAACCTTCGTACTCGACAAAATGAATTCAACTTTGTAATACGGCAATACAATTCCGAGACGAGAGAGAACTTATCAAATAATTAAGGGCACTAGCAATTAATTTAACTTACAATATAATTTATATTTATATATTTATCTGATGATACTAACTTGTATCACGATTTAGACATATTCGATGTATGAATTTTGAGGTCAGATTTGTACCGCAACAGACCCAAATGAGGCGTTGCAGTCATAACCTTGATCGTCTCGGTGAATTTGCACACATTGCGTTTCTACTTTATAAACTGGTTCGAGCACGCTGAAAACCTGCTTGACCGGTTAAATGCGCTGCCAAGTACACCTAAGGAAATTTATGTAGACCGTTGACAGAAACGGCAGCGACTCAATTAAAGCTAAATATATATGTGGCGATGTTATCTTCTTGACTAAGGAACAAAAGAAAAATCTGCTGCTGGCCAAAAAACCACTAAAATAACGTCAAAAATTCCGCCTTCATGCAAGTTACAGGTATTTTTTGCCGAAAACATTACATCAACCTAGTCCACAAACCCGTTGCCTCGGTTTCAATGCGAAGTCCTGTGGAATGTTCACATCCGGCTTTTAACCAGATGGCCGTCCAAGCTTCATGTGGACGCCCACTTGTTAAAGAAAATTGTCTTATTTTTCACGTTGCTTACCCTATAGCACATTTTTGGACGCCTCCTTTTAAAGAAAATTGTTTTACTTTTCAAATGTTGGTTTCCCTATAGCACATTTTTGGACGCCCACTTTGCGAACCTTGGCTAATAACCTGTTTTGTATGCGTGTAAAACACATTGTTTTTGCTCCAGGACTCACTTTGAAACGGGCAAAACAGATCGTTCTTTTCTAATATTAACATACACTGTGGTAATAAATCGTTCACCTGATGGCTAGACTTGGTACTTTTTTTAAGGTATGCGCCATTTTTGCGTAGCATGTAGCATTGTAAAACCCAAACGGTCATTACACCTTAACATATATTCAACTGAGCCTCAATTTTAATAATTGCCCATCAGCACATCCCAGATCCGTTCTGCAAAACCACTCTTAACCAATTAAATTTAAAAAACTGTAAACCTAATCTCCTATGAGGAAAATGTTATCTTAACAAATCGAATCAGTGTCACCATAATACTGCAAACACGTTTTGCCTTCACATTCAGTTGTCTAGGCGATGGTTTGCACAAACTAACTTAAAAGCACAACTGGTAAACAAATCCTGATGTTTATCAGAAGTTTTAGCTTGTTCCATAGTAATACTTGTTATCAAAACTATTGATTTGTTTTCACTCGCTTAGAAGTTTGACCAGATCTACACTAGGTTGGAATTTTTTGTCCTTTTTCTCTCTAAATTTTCGATCTTCGTGCTAAGCCTATCTTTTCCTCTACTTGTTGTCTAACTTTGCATCTAAGAAGATCAAAAGTCTGTGTATCTTAAGTCTACCCAATCGCATTGTTGTTAACTTGAATAAAACTTTGGTCTCAATTGACTCAGAAAACTAGATAATTTTCAGATATCTACCGAGAATCTGCGTGTGTTTCCGCTTTCTCGTTTAAGCAAAATACACACAGCATTCCATTATATGGGAAGTGCTTAAAACACGACACGGATTCTGTCCAAGGAAGTCTGTTGACGCCTTTTAAAACTTAGTGTTCACCTTCGGCGACGCTCGTTCACGTTCGGAAACTTTTTCAACCAGCCGAGCTTGCTTCGGCGGTGCCGTTCGCCTCCGACCTTTCATTTTACTCAGTTCATCGCCAAAAACGTCTCCAGTCCGCAGCGCGGAGATTAAATCGTCGAATTCACCTCTGTTCTCTCCTGGGGCACTACCTTTCCTGTTGTTTTTCTTCTCCGGAACGGATTGATTATTGTGAATGAATTTCTTGGCGGCTGATCTTTGCCGATCTCGTTCTTTTTGCTGAAGCGTAAAGCGAAAGGGATAATAAACAGCCATTCTATTCTAGCAAAGAGTAGACCCTGTCCACACTACCCCGAGGAAATTTGAAAACGGCCTTTTCATTCTGAAAACGCATTAATTGTATTTCATCCACAATACGCTGGGGAAACTTGAAAACGCAACAATAATTTTGGATTTGCGTTTGAGGAAGACTCGGGAAGGGAAAAATCACATGAATATCGTGATGTCATCGTTTCCGCAAAGCTCCGTTTTCAAAATGTTTTCCGTCAACACTAAAACGCAAAGCCGGCGTTTTCAGATTCCTCCGGTTTGAAGAGCGTTTCTGAAAAGCTCCGTTTTCGTGACGGATTAGTGTGGACAGTAGGCCTAATCGTAGAAATAAAGCTGTATTTTCAAATTTGTCCGGCGTAACGTGGATGGGGCTCAATAAAAGAGTATCGTTGCTACTCTAGCGAGAGCAAGTCAGCTAGTTCTTAATTTTGACAAGTGTTTGTCATCTTTATGTTGGCTTTCTGGCTTACCATATTAAAAGGAAAATTAGTCTGGTAGTGACTTTGCACGTGCCTGGCATGTGCGATTGTCGGCTTTTTGATTGGCTGTTTTGGAAACAACTCTGTAGAATGACGTCATGCTTAAAATGAATTCATAAGGCAATATCATTGTTATCGATTTCCAACGACAAGGAAAATAGCTCAAAACAGAGAAATTATTTTACCTCAGCCATGGCGCGTGCTTTTCTCTCTTCTTGTTCTTTCTTTTTCTTCATTTCCTCGTTCTGATGTCTCGCTTCCTGTGAACGGAAAATGTTAAAAAAAATGTTCACATGTCACGATTGTCGTTTATAGTGGTCAGTGCGCTTAGGTATACCTAGCTAGTTCACAGGCATGCCACTTAAACTGAAAGAAACAAATGTATAAACTAACAATAAGAGGCTTAAAATTCCCACCTGGCGGGAGGCAGACCAGTTGGCTATTCACAAGCATGACCGAGGAGTTGAACTAGGGTCTACTGAGAAACAACTTCAGCTTAGTGGTCAGAGAGGGACTTGAACCTGCAACCCCCGGATTTTAAGTCCGGCGCCCTAACCACTCGGCCACGCTGCCGCCAATAAAAAATGCGAGGCCTAGTATGTTCTCCACTGCATGAATTTATGGAGCTAGCAGTGAGGGACTTACCGCGAACGACACCAGGAATGCAGAGAACAGACCGAAAAACTCATCAGACTGAAGCTGTTTAGGATCTTCACCAAACATGGCCACTGCTTTGCCGTACTAAACAGGCAAAACAAAAGTTACATCAGTTATACCATGAGTGATTGAAAAATGAAAGTAATTTACTTTACATGTAATTGAACTCCTGATTATGAAGAAAATAGAGCCTACCTACTTATGAGCTCGAGATTTCTATCGCGTGATAGTTGTCTAATAATCTAGTTGTTTGTTACTCACTGAGGTGCGTTTCCTTTTGGTTATTTTAGTATAAATCTCAATTTGGGAACATTTTATCTAAATCCTCTTCACAGACACTTCGAAAACGCAAAGAAGTGGCCGCCACTTCGCCAACAACCGCACACTGCACGCTACACTACTCACTGTCTTCAACAAAATAGATAGTGAGTAACGTAGCCAATCAGAGAACGGCATTGGTGAAAGAACACTAGTAGATTTATACTAATTACTAATAAGTTGTAAGTTAAGAAGTCAAATTTCACCTTTTGTTTCATATCTTTCCAAGTTTCATCCAGCTCAGACAGCGAGAACTGTGCAACTTTCACAAAGGAGCCCATCGCATCCACAAACTTGTCGCCATGAATACGTTCCTTCTTCTTGTGTTGGAATTCCAGCTCCTACAAGCCACAGAGAACACAAGACATTCGAGCGGTTTTCAATTGAGTGTCGAGTAATCAGGCAATTACTTCGGATTTGGTAAGCAACTGGTTTGGTTTAGGTTTTACGACACTCAATTAAAAGCCGCTCTAAGCTCAAGTCTTTGTTGAATCCTCCAAGTTTATCGAGCTGTTTTTAATTGCTTACCTTTTCAACTTCTTTGAGTTCTTTTTTAATAGCGTTCGCTTCGGTCTCTAATTCGCTCAGACTGAAAAAGAACCAACAGTATTAATCGTATCTATAACGATCGTATTCTCAATCGTGATTGGTTCTCAGCGCGCTCATTTGTCATTTAATTAGCGCGCGATCACGTGGGTGTCCAACTTCAGGTTTTTGTAATACGCGATTTGCATAATGGCGTCATTTGACTACAACTACCAGAATCCTTCATTTTTTCTGTTTCTTATGCTAACTAGGGCAATTGAAATTTAAACCCCACTAGGAATTCAAAATTTAAATAATAAAGAAAAGACGAATGGAATTCTGGTAGTTGTAGTCAAATGACGAATACGTGCAAATCTGTTATTGGATACCTTCGCCATTCGATCCAGAAAAATAAAACTTAGGCTGCTATTCATTTGAAACCTGGTTTTACCAAGTGCGTCAATAATTGTAGTTTGTTTCAATCTTACGTCATCCAGATAATTTTAACTGAGGCTATTAGTCTTTTCGTGATCGAACACAAACAGTATTGTAGTTATACTCACTTGACTTTAGCGGCTGTCCTAACGTTCGCCAACTCTTCCTCTAACTTTAAGACCTCGGGATACTGAAATGAAGGAAAAGTGCTTCTTAATTACCTACAACATACTCCTCATCACCTAGACTTTCTGTTATATCTGGTCAACTTGAGACTGTACAGGGTTTTTTCGCACACACGTTATCCCCTAGCCTCCAAAGCAGACGCTCTTAGGGCCCGTCACGCAATCTTCCTCCCCATGAGATTGCGTGACGAGCCTAAAGAACGTCTGGATAGGAGGCTAGTAATCTCCTGGCAGCTGTGAACTCGAGTTTTCAGGATAACAACAGAGTACCATTAAATTAACAGACCCAACATTTTTTTCCAAAAAACTCACCTTTCTTTCCAGTACCATAATGAGGTAATGAAGAAGAGTTATTTTTGAATTGGAGCTGGATTTAGTGTCGATAATTCTGTTTAAACTGCCCAGCTTGAATCCTAACAAATAAAAGAAATAAAACCCACCATCAGAGATACTCCTTACAGCCTTGTGCTCCACTCACGTAAAGAAGATGAGTGTGAGTGAGTACTCCTAGCCCCATTCTTACGCCCCGTCCACACTGCGCCGGAGGAATTTAAAAAACGCAACAATCACAGGTCATTTTGGATTTGTGTTTGAGGAAACTCGGGAAGGGAAATCGTATGATTAACGTGACGTCATCGAAACCGCCGTTTTCAAAATGTTTTCACTCACCCATCCTCTTCGCTCCTGTGAGTGGAGCACGAGGCTACTCAAAATGTTTTTCGTCCACACTAAAACGCAAAGCTGGCGTTTTCAAAATTCTCCGGTTTGAAGACCGTTTTCATGACGGATTAGTGTGGACGATAGGCCTAACCGTAGAAATAAAGCTGCGTTTTCAAATTTCTCCAGCGTAGTGTGAGCGGGGCCTTACTTCGCTTCATTAATAAAAAGCTCAAAATGAAGAGAGCACAGAATCATTAAAGAGTACGCAGTTAAAGCGCAGTTTCTCACCCACAGCATTTCCTCTTGCACCTCTGTTCATGTAGTTACCAAACGCCAGAACAACTTCCAACAATATTCTAAGTCTTTTACTTCTCTGAAGTTCTTTGGATGCTTCCAGAACAGCTGTAACGGGAAACAACAGTTTTTAGACACAAGAACAAATGTAAAATAATTTACAAACCTCCGAGGGGTGCTAATCCTAGACAAGGTCATCAGCCGAGTCCAATTTGGAAGTCCGGCGAAGGTTTAGAACTAAATTACCTTCATATTGGACAAAACTGTAGTCGCGTGTTGAGTAAAGTGCAACCAACTTCAAAATTTAATAACTCATATTCGCGCTCGCGTGAAATGAGATCCACATACCTTGCACTCTTGGTTTAACCTCGCCCATTCTTTCAGGAAATCTCTTCTTATAAAACAAGGATTTCAGTCTTTGCTCGTAATGAACAATTCTGTGAAATGAAGGTTCAGTTCGCTTACGATATGAAGAAGATGAAACTTTACAATGTGGTTTATCACCATGGTACATATGTATAAAGGGCGCATTTAATAATATGATAAAAGGCAATATTTGGGATTACGAAGAAAACAATTACATGCACGGAAAAACAAAAAAGGCGTCCTTTACAATACGAAGAGAAAAGGGGTCTTAATTTAAAATTCTTATTTCTAACCTTGACATGTCGTATAAAAATCTGTCCGCTCGAGCAAACTGCTCAATCTCTTTGTTGTGAGCATTCAGAAGGTTCTTCTCATCTGATGTCGGGACATACTTCAAAAGCTGGCAAACAGAAAAACACGTGTTATACACATTTTCAGAGAAACTATACATAAACTGCGATATTTAGAGAGGAAGCCACATCAGTCTTGGCTGGTTTTCATGCAGGTCCTCTATCCTGGTCGAATTGGAATTTGGAGATGTTGGTTCTTGTGGAAGGAGGAAAACTGGAGAACTCGGAAGAAAACCTTCGGAGCAAGGCGAGAACCAACAACAAACTCGACCTACAAATGGCACCGGACCGGAATCGAACCCCGGGCCACATTGGTGGGAGGCGAGCGCTTTCACCACTGCGCTATCCCTGCTTCCTGCAATATTGAAGAAAAACGTGTAAAAAGCAAGCCTGCATTGGACTCGAGAGCTACTGACTTGTGGTTGAAACTAGCGTGGCTTTGATTGTGCTGTGTTCTTGGGCAAGAAATTTCCAGAGATAAAGCACCTTCATTGTGGAGCCACTGCCAACCAGACTATGATTGTGACTTATTTCAGACATAAATATTAATTTTCATACAATTTCCAGATACCTGTTCTACCATGTCCTTCGATAGCTCATCGTTTTCATCAACTGAAAGTATGGCTGCTGTGATCTCCTCGTCTGTCATCTTCAACTTCGTGAGTAGAATGCCACAGTTCTAGGAAAAAAAAAAAAAAAGAAAGAAAGAAAGAAAGAGAAGAATAAAAAACCATTTTGTAGGCATTAGCACATTGAAATGATTAGTGACGACACCGTCCACTGTATCTCACTTGAGGTCAGTACAAACTGTTGAGAGTTGTCTGTTACGAATGCAACGTGAGTTTTCCTAAGTATAACTCGTTAAAGATTTTAACTCTTTAAACTCTTCTCTCTCTGAGTTGCTGCTTTTGCGGGATGGAACAAAGGAGTTCTTTGAGGTGTCCTTACGCTGCAAGTTTTTTACGGAGTCAACTTTAAGAAAACTCTTGCACAGGTTATTATGAGGGAGAATCTATCACGGAATGCATACCTGAGCACGTCTGCTATCAACGAATGACAACTCTTTCGGTCTTGATACACTATCGACAGCATCCTTGTTGTCTTTCTAAAGTAGTAATAAATAAAATGCTAAACTTAGTAACATTTCTTAGATTAAACTAACGCTGCTGTTGTTTCCCTAGGGAGTTAGTGAGTTTTGTTCGCCCTGAGGAGTTAGTGAGTTTTGACCCATGACATGTGACACGTTCTCCTCCAATAGGAAAACGTATTTAAGTTGGGGGTATATTAATTACCTAGTTGTTTCGGTCTCAATATTTTTCCCGCCAAAACTGACCTGAGCGAACGCGGAATTAGCGAGAAGCGCGCAGCTCCCTGAATTGAACTAGGGAACACAAGCCTGATGCCTTTTCTGTCGTTATTTTCTATCGTAATCGCTAGTTCCTAAGGGCTTACTTTCTACAAAATCAAACTATTCTTGCTACAATTTCCCATGCTTTTTTTTCTTTCAAATTAAAAAAAAAAAACGTTTCTCCGTTCAAAATCTTGTTTCAAGGTTGTCCGTTTAACTACCTACCTCTTTCTTTTGGTAGGCAGAGAACATTCTGTCAAAATCTTCAAAGTCCATGACAGCATACACCTGAAAAGGAATGGTTTTGTCATTGAAAAAAAAGTTCGTTAAAATTCAATCTAATCCTTTGGCATTTTTCCTTCCTTTTACCTGACTGCACACATTTGTTTTTGCACTTTGTTTTTTTTTTCTTTCTTTTACAGGTATAGTACAAGAATGTACCGATGGAGACATACAAACATTACAAAATTTACAAAAATTATCTTAGTTACAAACTACAAAGAAACTACACTAAACTAAACTACAAGAATTACGTAACTAAAATAAAGAGTAATTGAGGGAATCTTAGAAGAACGAAGTTTGGATAACAGCTACTGTTGTATTGATGGGAGTAAAGGTTTCCATTTTTTACTGTTTTAATTTTTTATCGCGGAAATGGATTTTGTTATTTTCGCGATAAAACGCTCCGTTTGAAACGTTTTGTTACATTTATCGACTAACAGTCTCTTACATGTAATGTAGTAAGTTCGACAATCTAGCATTATTCACAACACAAAATTTTGGTAAAAAATGCATGTTTGATCTCTACCCAAGAACTTCAGCTAACTTTCCAGTTATTCACAATATATCTCTTTTGTGTGTTGGGGTTGAAAATATATTAAAACAGACATGACAATTTTCAAACTTATCTTATTTACAAATTAATATGAAAAATCTCACCTTTGCATCGTCAATATCCGTCCAAACAGTGCCTTTAATTTTGGACTAAAAATGAAAAACAAGAACTAAGAAAAGCGAAAAATATCATTATACAGTCACTTGCACATAACTCTCCCCGACTCCTTTAAATTGAAGGAAACCTGAAAATAGCAGTTTACTAAGGTGGACAGACAAAAAAAAGATAATAATAAACCATAGAGGAACAAGGATGGCTAAGGATGGAGAAGATTAACACGAATTACAAACGACGAACTTGAAAAATTTAGGCTAAACCTTTCAAGATATGCAAACCATTACGTAACTCGTTTAAAGACATAGGGAACGTTCTTGTGGCAGATTTCAAAAGCAAACAAGATTGCTTTACTGAGTACAGACGTTACACATAGCACTTTAGTATTACAGGTTTCACTTACATCAGGTAATTTAGCCCAATTGAATGACTTGAGCGGTTGCGAAGGCTTGGGTGCTTTTCGATTCGGCTGCTTACTAAAACCAAACAATCCCCCCTCTGTCTTGCCTCCAGGGGGAGGGGGTGGGGCTGGACTTCCTGGAAGTCCACCAGGTGGGGGAGGTGGTGGGGGCGCTCCTCCAGGTCCTCCAGGGGGAGGTGGGGGAGGGGGTGGTGCTCCTCCTGGTGGGGGTGGAGGAGGGGGTGGGGGCGCTACACCAGCCATTGGTGACAACTTTGCCGCTGCTGCAGCGCTGGTCAGGTTGGAAATCTTGGCATCGTCTGGTATTGAGGCACCAACTCCTTTCAACATTTCTTCTAACTTGTGTCTTTCTTGACCTTCAAGCTCAATCTTGGAAAAAATAGAGTAGAAGTAGCGTTATAAGAGCTAGCCAACTTGAAGAATTCACACCAAAAACACAACCCAAACTACAGAACGGAAAACATTGCGCGCAAAACGGGCGACATAAAAATTGTATCTTTATTGAAGTTAAAGCCCAGTGGTAAGAAATGGAGCGATATTGTAAACTTCACCCAGCATGCAAGAAACACATGCAGTTACACTCAAAATACAATCCAAACGACAAGCGGTAAAAGTAACACACTGAATTTGACCAAACAACATTAAACACACAATGCTTTAATCTAGATAGACTGCACACCACAATTTCATTTTGCCCGAGAAAAACTTCAGCCCATGATTTTCTTAAATACTTCTCAAGAACCTGTTTAACTTATTAAGGTCAGAATTTGGTAGCCATTGTAATGTAGATATAAATTGTTGAAGTGAATCGGTTAACTACTATTATCCGAGCCCTTTTAATGTAGTAAGCATCTAGATATTGCGTTACAGTTCTCTTTACTTACTCTTGCATTAGCTTCATTCAGTTTGGCTTCTTGTTCACGTATCTGCTGCATGGCTTCTTCCCTCTCCTGGGCTTCCCTCTCAAGCTTGACAGACATTTTATCGAAAGCCTCTTTCAGCTCGTCCTGTAAGGAGGTACGATAATATTCTCATTTTGTCTTGAAATCAAAATGAAGGATTACAGTTGGTTTTAGCGAGGTAAGATGAAAGAACTGTGTAAGGTGGGGTGTCTGTGCTAGGTCCCAATTCCCCAAGAGCTGCACGCTACTAGTTTCTTGTTTCACACATGAAACTTTGGTGTCTAGAAATTCATTTTTTTAGAATTTATCAAAACTTCTCAGGCAAAGTTAGGATGAACTGAAATTTTGCTCTCCAGAATAACCAATTGTTCAAGAATTTACGAAGGTCCATAAATAAACGAACCTGATACACATAAGATCATTTAAGTCTTATACACTGCAGATTTTTTTGCAGTATGAGGGGGTCTTTGGAATCCTAATTGCTTACCAATTCTTGTTTTTTGTTATCAACCTCTCTTTCTTTCTTTTGAAGCTTGGCTTTAAGACCTTCAACTGTGACAGCAACATACAGTATTAATAGTTATACAAAATACTTGTACAGCCCCTTGGAAAACAACATGGGGAGGCCCTGCTACTATTTTGGTCTCGTGTGAGACTTGTATACAATGAGTGTAACCCAGGGTATAACTCGGTTGACAGTGAGCAAAAATCAGGTGCAGTTTTGTATTTTGGCATAAAACATATTTATCATCTCACCATCTTCTCCAAGTTCTTCCCTGCGTATCTCATCTTCGTGAAGTAATCTTTAAAAGCAACAAAACAAAAACATCAGCTACATTCGAATAGTAAATTATGAGATCAGCTGAACAAAGCTTCCAATTTTGATAAAAAAAATCAGATCCACTCACGTGTCGAGAATGTAGTTAACATTGATATCTAAGGGAGCCACATCAGGGTCACTGCCATCATCTTCCTGAACAGCGATTTGCTGGACGACTCTGTCAATCAACTGCCATAGTCTCCTAGCAACACCATGATCATCTATAAGACAAACAGCAAAGGTTCCATTATCATCACTGTTACAAGACAGATAGACAGAAATGAAAGATGGACTTCGACCTTTAAGAAGCAGCTATACAGATATTATCATTACAAGGCTTGGAAACAAAAAACTTCAGTTGGATTCAGCTTGCCCTTCAGACAAGCAGCTCTCAAATTTTGCCTGCCCTGGGCAAGTCTTAGTTTCCTTGTTTTTCATTTAGTTGCCAAAATAATGACTTGCTCTGGTCCTTGCCCATCAGGCCAGTGAGAATGAAAAGTCACTTGCCCAGCAAGAAAATCTACTACAGATGTAGTACCAAATGACCAGACAACACTTTTTTCAAGCCCTAATCAAAAAATATCTTGACTCACTTGGAACAAGAAGCAAGTGATGAAGAATGGACAGCAGGTGTGGGTACGCTGATGTTGTACACAATTTTCTTCTGATAACATCAAACATACAGCTAGCACTCCGTAGATCAATATATGGCTACAGAACAAAAGAAAGCAAACACAAAAAAAGTCTCAGCATTAAACAACATCGGCAGTTGGCTCTTTCTTGCAATCAGGACTAAGTACAGTATCATAAATTTCTGAAGTAGGTAAGCCCTTCGAAAATCAGGATCCCACATTGAAATACGTTGAGTGCTTAATAAATATCTGAAAATCAGTTTACTTCAAACGTTTATGGAAGAAGAAAAAAAAAAACAAGAAAAGATCAAAGCTTGAGTTGATATTTACCATTCCATATCTCTTAGAAAGTTCCTTTTCGTCATCAAGTCTAACAATGTCGAAAAAGTTTAAATGCCTGAAGGAAAAAAAATGTAAGATATGCATAATCATACGTACTTGACTTAAACCCCTTCATGTGGAAGTAAAATTACTTGTGATGTAGAACATGATATCTGCCATGTCACTGATACATGTGAATGTAGAGTTTGTGGCTCTTTTACTGTGGACAACACCCTTACACTTGTGATGTAATGAACGTACAATGTAATGTTGTGCACGGAATAATAACAACAAACTATTAATAATTTTCAAGGTGTGTTCCATGTATAACAATGTAATTCAAGCATGGCTGGCCTCATGGATGAGGGAAGCATGAACAGTCTTGATTTCTCAGTAGCTCGTGCCATCGAATCAGTAATGGCACACTCATAATAAACCTTGCACTATTACTGCAACCTCATGTGTCCCAGTAGAGCACTGTGTGAGACCTGCTGCTTTGTTTGTTAATAATTGCTACAAGACACTTAAGACAGACCTATCAAGAGTTGCATTCTCCAGAGTGCGCAGCTTCTCAATCACTGGCTCAATTCCCAGCATAAGAAATTCAAACCGAAGATGAATACGAAATTCAAGATGTTCCTGTCAAACAAAAAAAAATTCTAAAATAAGTTATGTTCTGATGGAAGTTTGACGTTATTGGAAGTCTTCAATTTCAGTTACTTGCTCTGTTAACCCACTGAAGTTCAAAACATCTCAAATATTTTTAAATAAAAATCAATATGTGATTGCATATAAGTATAGAATACACACATGTGTATTGAACACGTAAATAGAATATTCTACCTCACTGGTGTACATTTCTAAGTAAATTCACAGTGCTAAGTTCTGGCAAGTTGTTAGTACATGTAAATGTTCACTTCTAAGCCCAGAGAACACATAATGGTTTAAAAAAAATACATATAAGTGATCCAAACATACCGCCCCTGCTCCGTATTTCAGTGCTGCATTGATGAATGACATTATTGCAATTTTCAAGTTAAACTCCTCTCTGTAATGTCCAGTGGTACGATCCAGATCATTGATCAATGTCTGAAAAGGAACAAAGTATTTATTATATAAGGTTAGCATATGGTCTAACATCAATCACTGTACCTACAAAAACTAGACCATCACCCATCAACTGATCATAAACTAAATGTACTGGGTGTAAAAGTTTCATACGAACCAAGTGGCCCATAAGACTGGTACTTATCTCCTGGTTTCTGTAGCATGAAGTGACTGGAAGTATTTGTACTCCCCCCTGGATGAGATGCTAGCCCATTGCAGGCTTACCCCCATCATTAAATTCTTCGGTGCCCATTTATACACCTGGGTGAAGGTTTGCATTGCACTGTACAAGATTTAACTTGCAGCTTTCCATAATTCAATAGGGATGCACAGAATGAGGCTCTATGATGTAATTTCAAACTCTCTCTGTTTCACAAGGGAATACAAGGCAATGTGAAAGGAGAATCTAGAAATTTATCAGAAGTCAGGTAGGACTTTTTTTTGAGGTACCCCTTCAATTGGTTGTTACTTGACTTCAAACTTGGCATCAAACCCAACACACACCATGGTTATCTGTATTGAAATCATCAGATAGGATTTCTGGGGCAGAATCTGACAGACATCTGTCAAGTGGGAAAAAGCTTCACAGTGCAACAACCAGCTCACCTGGAATCTTGTTCGTTCCTCGTTAAACTTCTGAAAGTGCGTCATGGCATCCAGAGCTTTCTTGTGACCTCCAGGAACAAGGCAAACAGCTCCTAGGATTTCTAGCACTATAAAGAGCAAATAATCATCAAGTATGGGTAGTACAAGAACGGGGTAATTAATTCTTTTCAATTAGTTCATTTGCTCCTTACGTTACCATTTTACATTTTTTCCCCATTTTCCTTTTGTGTAATATATTTTTCATCTTTTGCTTTTCTGATTTAGTTTTTTAAAGGCCTTAGACAGGAAGGTGAAAGCTCTACTTTTATCAAATTCTTAACGAAAGAATGCTCGAATTACACATTCTTCTTTACACTCCAGACTATACAAAAAAATATTACTTGCCTACCTTGGATTTTAGTTTTAGCATTCTCTGCACTCATGCTCTGAGCAATTATGTTAATACATGAGGGGTGGGCCAACACATGAGCTCTACCATGCTAAAACACCAAAAAAACATTGACTGATCAGATGTCAATATTATCCTTAACAGTCAGAATATATTTAAGAAAAAGAAGACATGTACCATGTTACTAGGTAAATGTTTTTCTGTTCTTAATTTTCAGTGACTTCTGTCCACCTTCATTGGAGCTGCAGTGTTGAAGGTTAGTCATTGCTTGCACTGCAAGCCTCTGTGTTGTCACTTTATTGTGTACAAGAGGAAAACCCTCCCTCACACTTACTTACCATTGATTCAAAATCAATAAAATGACAGCAACCAATTGACGGACTTGTAGTACGTACGAGTAATAACAAATCTTTAACATTGGAACTCTGATGAAGGAGGACAGAAGCCACCAAAAATTCAGAACAGGAAAACAGATTGGATTATGAAAACCTAGAAACAACTAAAAGAGAATTTGGTTCTTCAACAAAGCATCTTTTGACGTGATTTGGACACCAATTTACATGCCTGCTGACTGGAATTTGGTACATACGTAGATATTGTATGATTCAAATATTATCGTTGGTACAATTTGTAGGGTAATATTAATATTAATAATGTATATGAAACAAGGAAAATACCAAATATTACCACAGGTAAATGGGTAATATTGAACCACCACAGATACATGTGATATACATGTTCAGTACTATTATTGCAATCAAATCGTGAGTGTACAACTTACTGAGCTGTTCATCAAAGCTTTAAAACATCCTATTGCTGCAGTGTGAATTTTACTTTGGCTGAAAATAATACAGGAATTTCAATTTCAGTCCATTATTACAAAAGATATCATTCAAACAGTGCATGTATCAACAGAAATTTGCAATATAACTTTGTACAGCAGTATCATTATGTACATCGTAGTACAAATACTTTACATGTGTGTTATCTGCATGGCCAATACAAAAACCTTAACGTTTGCATTAAGGTCATCATAAATTGTAATATTTAGCTGAATTATTTTTTAAGAACTCTTCACATCCACCTTTAATTCAGTAAGTGCCGTACATGTGTTTTCATGTCCTGTTCTAAGCTACTGAATGAGAGACAAAGTTTCCAAATTCTGCTAAACTTTGATTTTTCTAGCTTACTTCATGAGTAATAATTAAAAATAACTATTATGTGCAGAATAATTTCTCGCCAAATTCCACTCACCTTGTTGCAAAGTCCATATTTTCTAGGAATTCTAATAAACAATTTAAACCATCTAATTCAATAAACCTATGCACAAATCTGCAAGAAAAGACATCGAGTACAATTCATTATTCTCAGTAACCAATGTGAGCTTTCTTCAGCTTTACCAAGTTCAAATTCTACTGTTGCTCGAGCAATGGTCACTGCTAAGGCTAGAAAAGAATTTGAAAAACAAACATATAAATTATATAACATCTTGTCCTAGAATAAGAGATATTCTTTCAACCCACTTTAAAAAGTTTAAGATTGGCACTACAGAATGTATTTCACCAAAACACTACCCCATCAGTTGTACACCATATTGGATTGCGTAAATCCATTCAAATAAACACCCACGAAATGGAATTACTTCATGCATGTACATAGTGAATTAATCATGAAAATTTAATGAAGGCCGTTGTTGAGTAATATTTCAGTACATCACAATCACCTCAAGGGCTGAGTCCTGAGTGCTGTTTTGAGTCCATCGACTAGCTTTGTTCTGGCCTCTATCTCTTCATCACTCTTGGAAACAAAAATCTGTCGAAATGACAACAATAGAAGGTACAATGTATACTAGCTGTTTCACCATGTTGCAGAATTTTTTGTTCAGTTCTGTCGGACAAAAAGAATGATTGATTTGGCACAGCACACTGGTTGCGTTCTCACTAGGCCGATAAACTGGCTGAACATTCTTCCTAGGTGTTTGTTTACAAACCAACATTTGCTAGTTAAACGTGACATCTGTTTTCAATGGAAATTTAACCCAGAATTTAACCTGCTGACTCAGAAGATTCAAATTACAGAAGCACGCAACTTTAAAAAATGGCTGAGAGAGGACGCGCTTTCAATGACTTCTCTTGTATTGATTCTAGCTATATTTATACAAAGAAGATAGAGAAGGCATTTTCTTCCAGAGGATGCGGTTAATGTTCCCAGAAATAAGGAAGATGCGATGAAATGTTGTAATGCAGGAACTCGTTCTACACGGTGATGCTGTGTTGTTGGTAGGTTCCTGGCTGAGGAACTGGAGAATTTAACGCGACTGTAAGAATGGTAAACCAAAATAAATGAGAATAACTGTTGAACTCCTCTGCTGTTTTAAAAGTTCTGTTTTGCAAACTCGAACCGTGATACCGTACAAGCATTTGGTAAATAATATTGCCAGGTTCTTTGGCAGGTGTCTGTCACTACGCACAATTTTATTGGCTCCAGCATTTACCAGGACTAGTTATACCATCTCGCGAGGTAGTATAACTTGGCGTGAATAATTGCTTGTTTTTTCTGGTGAAAACAGCATGCATTTTTAACTCGCTAAACTCAAGATGCACTGTCTTCACTGCATTTCCAGACTTTTCCGACTTTATCTAGCCAATTGTCCTTGGCTAGTGAAAACACAACCACTAATTAATAATTAGGAACTGGTTAATGTTAAGGCCATGCTAATTATGTTTGGATGCACACAGGAGTTTGGAGAGCGCATGAGAAGTGTGAGAGTTGCTTGAGGTGAGGCTGAGAACAAATCTACATGTAGCACGTTCATTATCAATCCTTATTGAGATCAGTCCTTTCCCCTCTCTATAGATCTCTGATCAGTTTTAATCACTTAGATACACATTATCTTAGCTGACAAACTGCACTTACAGCATGAAGGCTTTTCAGTTGATCTATGTAGTACTCTGGATAACTTGTTGAGCTTAACTCCTCTTGTTCCTGAAAAAAATGAAGATATTCTGAATCAATATATAAAATCCACTAAACACAGCTTTCTTGAAAGTATTCATTCCACACATTGATCACAATGCCTGACCAAACTGCGGATGGCAACCTTTCATATCACCATTTTTCCCACAGTTCTAAAGCCCTGGATCTAATAACTGTCTCCTTTGTAGGCTACTAATATCTATTGTTATTCGCAGCACTAAATTAATATGGTATCACTTAATCTTTGGAAGGCATAATGACTAAATGATTAGAACACTACAGTTTGGATCAAGAACTCTGGTTTCCACCTATGTTACAGTTGCTATGTACACGAAGTGTTCTTAGACAAGAAATTTTACTCCCACCTGTCAAGTTGTTTGGGAAAACTAACAAAATGCCATCAAGTAACCTATAATGGTCTAACATCCAATTCAAGATGAGTAGATGTGGCCGCAATACTCTCGATGGCTTTATGGTACAGAAATCACAGGTACGTGTTGCCCACTTGGCTGAGTAGACACAAGCTTTAAATCTGGCATTTAGTTATAGTGGTGCACGTTCAAGTATCTCTGTTTTTGTTCATGTGTATTGTATCACAAGCTAAAATTGTTGTTTTGTTACTATGTCAACGAAGACAATCTGTCTAGAAAGGTGATTTTCGCACAGTATTTGAGAAACTTCAAGGCCCATCTTGCTCATTAATGCTGATATATTGTTTAATATAACTGTATGGGTATTCTTATAGCAATATCAAGCACATGACGAAAGGGTTATTTACATAAAAATCACCAAATAAATGTTGTTTTCTTTTGTTTGCAAAAGTGCAGAACTATGTTTTGGATTGCTAAGATGGGCAACTTTTTTTATGATTTGAATAAACCCTGGATTTGTTCAAGTTGACTACCATGCAGTTTGAATCTTTCAGTTACAATACACAAGTTTGTACAAGATCCTCTACTGATATTTACAACAAATTCAAAGTTGCCAACTGAACAAGGGATTTTCTCAAGATGTCTTCCACATAATTTCTACCACTAAATTTCCCAATGTTAATCGCTGCAATATATGAGGGAAACGTTTGAAGAATCTGTTGCTATCAATATTTTAACAAAATGTCTCCATTTCAGAGTGATGATTTATGAAGCCAATAAATGCCAGTGAACAACAAGGCTCAATAAACGAGTGGAGACTTAAATGGCAGAATCTAAAATGAGTGGTAATATCAGAGAAGAAAATGACTTCTATATGCCCATAAACAACCCCAAACACAACCAAACAATTACTTTAGGTACACTGTACAAGTAGATTGTACAATGAATATCACAATAAATTTAATTGTGTATAGAGAAACAAATTTAATTTAACATCATGTGAGAATAAATGTTTTCTCTGAAAAGTTAAAGCCAATCCAAAAACAACCAAGTCTTTATGTAACTGAATGGTAAAAGTTTAAAGATAAGTAAAAGACAAGAAATATAATGCAAAAATTAAAACCATGTTTCATTAAAGAGTTAAAAGTTTTATAAATTACTGACTACAATCACTCTACAAAGAGAGCAGAATTGAAGAAGTAATGACAAAACCTTCACAGGTGTTTTCAAACGTAAAGCAATTTTGTTTTGCCCAGATGGTTGGGAGAGACAATGTTATGTCTGACCACAAAAAAAAAACAACAGAGCCACCCAGTGAACAACAACAGCCATGTCAAAACAATTCACTCAAATGATAAGAAATGTTTTATACATTCTTCTGTCAAACATTCCTCAGAGATGTACCTACATGTATGTAAATACGTAAAACTGGTGTTGAATGTACAAGACATTTTCATGGCAGGTAATGACAATAATTACTATGTGTCTACTGTCTGGGTTCACAGAAGTGTTAAAACCCTTTCTGAAATGTTTTTGACAGCTGCAATCTTAAACAATTATGCAAATAAGTTATTCACAATTTCCTATGAACTAAGGAACAGGATTGAGGAAAAGAAATTATTTAAAATTTCCTCTTGACTGCTGTTTTTCAGATTCAGAAAGTCAGTTTAAATTTCATCATGAATATAAACAAAAATGTCAAAAATAAATTTAAAAAAATAAAATAAAATAGAAGCCGCGATGGTTGCATGTATTTATTAGATCTTTGCATAATTTTCAAGCCCCCAGCCTAACACAGGAGACATTAATATTTAACCTGGGTGAATTAATACTGTGTAAATATGGAGTCCCTCAATATCAAGCAGTGAATCAACAGGTCTCAAACGACAGCAGGAAAAAGCTTGATTAATCCAACCCATCTTACCTTCTTTTTCGATAAATAAAGCTGCCATTTTTTCTCCGGCGGTAGTTCAAACATAGCCTTTTTATGCACGGCTGTGAGGTCAAGCTCTTCCTACACAAAACAAACAAATATTGATAAAATATCAGTGAGATCTAAATAATCCTAGACCGAAACATTTGCAAAAAGAAGCCTGAGGATCTGCTTTTCTAAGGAATTCGTGTTTTCTAAATCTTTTATTTGTCTTCGATTTTCATGTCAAGTACCATTTTTACTGGGTCACATCAACATTTAGCTTAAATTACAAATTGCAAATTTCTATCGTGATTTTTAGAAATCAGACGATAGGCACTGTGTGTACACAGCAATTGTATTTTACTTTACAGATTTTAGGAAAGGATCGAAAGTAGCTGATAATAGTGAAGCATTTTTTGCGTTGTGAAATTGAACTATTCGATTCCCGGAACGGAACAAGACACGCGAACATAATACGAGACATTGGAACGACTAATTTCCATGATCGATAAACTTATTAGAATGGCAATGTTCAGAATAAGTGATCGGAGATTTCATCACGTCGAACGTCGATGTCTAGAGACAGAACTTCATTGACTAGTCGGATTCGTAAAATAGTCGGAAATGAATTTGAAGTCTCGGCATAAATTTATTAACATAAACAATGGGTACAGATCTCGCATCGAGTTAAAGAAATTTGACTCCGAAATGATTTTGTAGTCACAGAATCGCTCTGTGAACGGAATAACAACGTGGTTAGTGGAAAATTCACGGGTTAAATCAAGAAACGCTACAGCGAATTGTAAGGATCTACTGAGCCGACATGAAAGACGAGATATGGCTCTGTCATATAAGCTTTATAGGCAATCAAAGTCAAGTCCTTTGGGAATATTTCCCCGGAATCTCTCGAGTATGAATCTGACCTCCTACTTTTTATGTATTCTTTTTCCATAGAAAACAACCTCTGTTCTTATTATTAGGTTGAGAAAAAGCGAGATGCTGTCCCCTAGCACGTGTAAGAAATATCAACAACAAATTCACTCTTCAGCATTCGCCACCGCCTCCGCGATATGTCAAAGAATAGATATATCGACGTAAAATTGAATGAACTTCAAATGTCTTGCGTAAACGGCAATAGGAATCAAAAGTTCAGTTGTTCCTCACTTACCACAATCTCGGCGAACTTGGCATTGAGTTCACTCTCCTCTGGCATTGGCTGAGAAAACTCTTGAAGTTGTAACTGCATTCCTTTCGAATGGTCGATGCCATAGCGAATTTCGGGGTGATTTGAGCGAGACCCAAAACAGCCTACGCCGCGTTTACGAGGCATTTTACAAAGCCAGTATTATCTTTTCACATGAATCATTAGTTTACGCTGCCACAGAATCCTTCGGAGCAAAAATAAACAGGGAAATAAAGGACAAGAAGCGACCGATAGAATCAGCCGCTTCGCTGAATGACCAAAATACAACAGTAGCGAGAGCCAGTCAGAAGTACGGCATTCAAATGGAAACTGTCCAGGGAGAGGTGACTATCAAACTTTAGAGAGTTCGTTCACAACTATTTCAGAGATAGCAAATTTAACTCCAAGACTAAAAATTTGACTTCGCTGATTTAAGAATTCACAGCTAGTTAACTTTGAAGAATAATAACCATTTTTATAACTGGAACAAAAAGGCGCAGTTCATACTATCCCTCTCCTGGGAGAGAAAAGATTTGTCGGCTCACACGTTACTTTTGATTGGTTCAGCTTTAGCTGTCAGCTCAACGCTTTACTAAACTTTTCTCGTTTGGTTAATAAATTATTTTCGTCTAGAAAACTCGATTAGGTATTGACCGCATTCAAAGGCAGATTTAAAAGAAATTCACTTTTGATGAATTTCACAACAGAGGTTTGAGAATGATTATTTTTAGACTTTCGCGTTATGCCGCTGGAACTCGCCTGTAACTCGCAAAGCGGAATTAGTTGAAATTAAAAATGTAAATTTTCTTGAGCTTTTTCCGTGTTTCCGATGTAAAGAAAAAACAGACCCGCCCTTGGTTAGAAAGCGGATGTGAAAATACCTTGCAAATGAGGTTCAAAGGACCGAATTCCGGAAAAAGAATTACTGTACAATTAAAGAGATAAGGCCATCTGAAAACACATTGTTATTCAGAGTTCGGCACTTTTGTGACGTACATCACGTTATGGAACTATTCAAAGCCGCTGAAATGTCCGAATAAATTACAATTAAGTACCCTTATCTTTCCAGCTAAAAAGTACAATTTTCCTAGCAAAAACCTGTCGATTAGGGGCCGCACGTACCATATTTAACCCTGGTTTTAGCAAGCAAACATATCTAAACACATGTTGATGTACATCTAGTGAGTGGTCCGAGTAGTTAAGTGTTTTTAATTGCAAGGGACACGCCTACGTGCACGGTCTTTGTTAATCTGACGGGAGCAATATCAAAGACGAGCGCTATATGAAGTCTTTTCACGGCGTAGCCACTAATTCCACTTCCTAGTGTAAAAGAAGGCTTCCAACCTCGTTCCCAGGGTCTCTCATCTTACCGCCCCCTGGAGCGAGCGTGGAGAGACCCGTCTCTCCTCCTCCAGGGGTTTCTTCTACCGCTCAGCACGCAACGCATCGTGGTCAAATTAAAGTCTTTCGACCGCAACCCGGTTTTGCTCGGGTGTTGATTCGGTTATATTGGAGTATCTGCCGGGTGCATCTCGCTATTTAGCACACACGAGCCGAGTTTAATTCTTCGTTGGTGAACATACTTACAAAGTAGAACTGATCGCGACTTTTAATATACTTTTATTCTACTAGAATATTTCTCCAACCATTTTCGACCGAGACGGTTGGCAATTGTCAGAATGCGTTCTGGTGAGATCAGCCAGTGCAGGGTTAGCTTATCAGTGTTACTTCTTTTTCAGTCTTGCATGTTCTGTAGGGAGTGGCCTAATGTTAAGAACGCTGAATCCCGGTTCGAAGGGTTTGGATTCGAACTTTAGCTTGCGCAAGACACTTCACCCCTTACCAGTGCCTTTCTCTACCTGTACCTGACCAGGTGCTGGAACGGGTGCCAACGAACTTAACTGATACTGAAGGGTAACCTTACGATGGTTAAAACATTCATATTAGCTGATTTTGTTCTAAATTGCCGCACTCCTAACCTTCTTAGTCAAACATCATGAGGGATGGGCATTTTCGTTCGAAATCCGATTAGGGTTAATCCAGGATTGGAAGTTTATGAATTTTTTTTTTTTCCATTTCATTTGCGTAACTAAAAGTGTGTGTGTTTCTTTTCTTTTATTTACCACAAGAAAACTTTGAAACACCTTTCAGTTTATCGGTTGAAGTCAAACCTAAAGGAAAAAATATAAGCAAAAAACTGAATAGTTATAAAAATCCTATAATCCCGGATAAGCTTAATCTTGCTCTGAACAGCCAGTGCCATATCAATTACTGAAGCTAAACTCGAACAACAAATGTTCGATTACCTTTTCTTATGTCTGGAGCAATAACGTTTTCTTCAAGACTGTAATTACTAGCAACATATTTCCTGTCACTCCCAAAATCTCTTTGGTGAATCTCTCAATGCGGGCCTTGGCTTCACTTGAGGGCTGGCATTTTATCTGTTAGTCAATTAATGACAATAAGTCCACGTTCAAGCAACCTGGCAGTTTGCCCAGTTACTTCCCAACTATCAGTTCCAAACACAAGTGGTTTTCCAGAACTGCACCGTGGGCATTTACTCTAGTAGAATTGTCTCAAAATAAAGCCGGTCGTGGATTATCATTTCATAAAACACCCTGAATGCTGTTAACAAGATTTTTGAAACTTAATCACCGTCCAATTTTTAATCCCATTCAGTAAGTAGCGACTTGAGAATGCTGTACATGTAAAACTGAATGTTTCACTTCCGTCTTAGGCATATCATTACGAACCGCTATATTAGACAATGTAATGAAAGGTGCTTAATTTTCTCGTCTCAGGTACATGTAATTAAGGAATCTCTGATTTATATTCCAGTAGATTGCGTGAAAATATCACTCACAGTTACTGCATTTGACAATTAATTTTGCTCCACTGCATGATGAAAATGGCGCCATACTTCGTGTAGAGTCTGTTCAAAATAGTTTTGCAAATCTAAGATCAGTCATGCAATTGTGTTTTGTGTCTAGGCCGTGATGAAAGCAGCATTACAGACCGGAGTACCTGCCTTACTGATCTAACAAAGGAAAAAACTATATCTTAATAATAGGTTTGATAAATGGGTCCCCTGGAAGATGTCTTCAATCGCAATTTATTTAAATATTTTGCCGTAATCTGTTATAGACAATCAGCAATCACTTACATGATGTTTAATTATAAGCGAGTCTATCTCAGCCGTCTCTAGGACAAAATAAAGATGTGTGGATTTTTTCTTTTTTGAACTCTTTAATTATAATTGTGTCAGTTTTCGTGAGAAAAAATATATCGTGCAAGTTCATAACTGCATGTTATCTTGTAACAACACCTGTATCGACACACTGGATTGGCTTTACAGACGTCCGCGCCGTCTTGAAAGAAAATCGGCTTAGAACCTCACTAATTTGTTTAATTGTATCTCTTAATATTTTTTATCCTTTTCTCGTTTGCACAAATCAACCACACAAAGCCGCCGGAAAAGAGATTGCACTTGTTATTTGACAAATCTTTTCCATAATGGTTTGTATTCTATAGCATGATATGGGTTCACAATTTCATCTTTTGTTATATTAGCTTATACATCTCGTGGAAATAGATCCGTGATACCTTCAGGAGACTTCAATTGAAGTCGATATGTCGTTCAACATATTGTAAGTTAATACTCTTGAGGCGATTTTAAATCCAAATCCGCCTTTATCTGCTGGCGTGGGATCGAGGAGGAAAATACGCTGTTTTTTATAGGCATATATTTCATAAGAATATGCAGGCTGAAATTTGCGAAATTGTAAGAATATTTTGAGACTAAACCCGAGGCTGAGATTTTGAAAAGAATGTTACTTTGTTAGTTGAAAATTTGTAAATACAATCAATTATATGTTTTTAACTAGATCGTATAAAATTATTTCTTTCTTTACACGGCAAAACTAGCCAAAAAGCAACAAAAACAGCACTAGCCGTATGTTCAATGCTAATAACATTTCTGCATGAAGTGCTGTGCGTTGTATCAGGTTTTCCAGACACCAGTTACATTCGAAAACAGAAATGTCGTGCGCTATAATCTAAGAATATTCACAAGAATATTTCCAGCCTAAAATCGACAGAAAAATAAGAATATTCAGCCCCGGCCTAAATAGCAATTTTCTTATAAAGAAAGAGTATACGGGCGAACCCAAGAGAATATGATCTTTCGGCGACCCCTAATCCCTTGAATTTGCGCGCAGTCATTATTTGACCTTCTGCGAGTTCCTATGCCGTTTTCAGGACAATTTAAGGCATGGCCCTCACTTTATTGAACCAAAGTGGGGTGGTCTATCTTCTAAGGTTTTCACCGCGCTGACCTAAAACTTTTTCAGATTAATAGGTTTGCAAATTTTGTCACATTTATCTATCTGGATGATATATGCAAATCAGGTCACGTGATTTGATTTTAAAAAAACTCAGCAAGTCTGGATACGGAAATGATTAATATTATAGAGCTAATGCCACCTTCCTAGCCTGTATACAGCCGTCCCCTCCCTTCAAAAAATCCCCGATTTTTTTTTGAGAGGAGGAGGCGGTCGTACACAGGCTACAGCTTCCTAGATGCTGTAAAAAGCAGTGCCGTTTGGCTAAAAAGAAATTTGAGCTAAAATAGCCTTGACAAGTCACGTGACAATATATGATCCCCCCCCCCCAAAAAAAACAATTAAGGTTGCTGAACCTCTTGCTCAAAATGATATCCCAAAGCTATATCGTGTTTAAAATTAATGCTTTAGAAATTATGCCACCCCTCTCTTCTTCATGAAATGTTTTAAGGCTAGATTTTAATTTTCCTCCTTCCAGAAACTATTTGCAGTCTCACAGTTTTTCTCTCTAGCTCGAAGTGTTGGAGAACGGAAAGGGGCCGCCTTTGCTCTTTCGAGGCCATGTTCGCTTTTGTGGGATCATTTGCCTTTTAATTTTCATGTAAGAAAAGGCGACTGCAAGGTCTGCAAGAGATCTACATAGCTTTGTTTCCTCTCTTCTTCCAACTGAATGAATGTGACGCATGATCTGTGGCAAAGGTTCTTGACCATTTATGCGTCCATACCATGTCAACCAACCATGTCAAAAGTCTTAGTCAGCACCAATGTTCTGATGTGCCCACAGAATTTTAGGCCCTTTGAAGTACTACTTGCGTTATAATTATAAATGGGTATGTGTTAAATCTGGATGAATTACAAATATGTTTCTATATTTTACAAGTTGTAACTTCGACGGTAGGGTAAAAATAATTTTTTTCTTGTGTACCTTCTCTGGTGGCTCTTGGGTGAAAATCACACAACG